CTACCCAGCATGATGTCCCTCTCCAAGGACCTGTCTCTCCTTACAACATGTCCAAAGTATGTCAGACGAAGCCCCAGAATCCTTGCCTCCAAGGATTAGCCTGGTTTAACCCTCTCTACGATGAATCTGTTTGTTTTCTTGGCAGTCCATGGTACATTCAGTACTATTCTCCAGCACCACAGCTCAAAGGCTTACACAGTTCAAAACATACTTGTAAAACAGTGTCTTCTTGGACATTTAGATTCTTTGCAGCCTTTTGAAGAGCAAACAATGCTACAGTGAGTCACTTTAGATTTCAGTCTGTTTCCTCCTGTGCACCTTTATCTTTATAAATGATTGCAAATGGAAATGCCAGGTGTGAAAGAGGAACTTTTGAAACTGGATAGAAATTGCTAGCTTGGCCTCATTCCAGATGGTAACAGGTTATGTTTCCACGTGTTTGCCCACAGCTTGGCCAAGGCTATGGTGTGAAGTTTTCCTCCGACTTTCTGTGTAACGTGTTGTCTTTTCTTTCTCTCACAGGGGTCAGCAGAACTGGCTACAGTTAGACCACCGAGTTCTTGATCACGATTTGCCTAAGAAACCAGGCACAGCCATTTTGCACTTTGCTGTGAGGTATGTCTTCATAGATGCATCCAGAAATCCAATCCTCTCAGACCACCGCCACCTCACCCTCACTGTGTCTTTTTACCTTTCTGGTGATCAAAGATAGAGAATAAAAAGAGAAGAGACCTAGGACCCAGCAAAACATTATTATGTAAAAGAGAATCTCCACTGTTTTGGCCTGAGGACCAAGTTACCACAGATACTGGGCAAAACTCCTGTCTTTGAAAGGATGTTACAACCTTCAGTTATTACCCAGCATCACTAGGATCCATTTAAGGCTGAAAAACATATATAATGCATTTTAATGCATAAGCCTGTTTCTCAGTCAACATACTTTTAGAATTATTATTTGAAGCATGGCAAACAATTGTTATTACATTCTGTGGAGAAATAACATTTTCTAGAAACTAAAAATTGAATGATGTACAATTCCATTCCTTGTTTTGAATGGAAGATAAATATGCAAACGAACACTCCAGAAAGAATTATCTTCACAGAAATCTGAATTCTGCTTGCACATTGAGAGAATTCAGAGAATAATGCAAGGAATTCTTGATTTGCCTCTGGGTTCTGTCTGGGCAAGTCATTTACCACCTGGTGTTGCTATAATGCTGACTCAAGCCATGATTCATAGTGACCCCATGAACCATGAGGGAAATGAAATGTTACTTGGTGCTGCACCATGGCTTGGGATCCACAGAATTCTCATGGACAGATTTTCAGAGGTTGACCACAAGACCTGCCTGCCTTATTCTGGCACCAGCAGTTAGGAAATCAAAAGACAAGTTGCTTTGGAGAAATCTACTGTCAAGGACCTGTCCAGAGTGCTACAGAACAATGATGTCAGTCTAGAGACCAAGATGCCTCTGAACTAGGATCTTCTCAGTTGCTTGCTATGCATCTGAGAGCTGGCAATGACTAAGATGACAGAAAAAGAATCAATGCCCTTGAATTCTGGTGTGGCAAAGAGGCTTGAACAAACCATGAACTGCCAAAGGAACAAACTGGTCTGTCCTAGAGATGAAAAACCAGGTTGCTCCTTAGAGGCAAGGAATTTGAAGCTTTTCTCACATACTTTGAGCATGCTACCAGAAGGGACCAGTCCCTGGAGAAGGACATTATGCTTGGAAGGGTAGAGGGTCAGCACAGAAGAGGAAGAACCCGGATGAGAGAGCAATGTTTCAGAAATGGTGGGATTGGTTCAGCATAAGGCAAGATTCAGAGCCATTGTTCATAGGCTCCTTATGAATTGTCGTCTCTTCAATGGCAAATAATAACAGAGAATTGCCCTTTATTCTGAGGCTTATCTTTTTTCTGGGTGTTGAAAATGAACTTTGGTTTTATGAGGTGATGGTGGCTCTTTTATTTTATTTTTTACTTTTGTTCTTTTGCTGTCATTATCTGTAACAATCATGTAGATTTTCACAAACATCTTTCACTTTTCAGTTTAGTCTGCTCCATGAAACCCTAAAATCTGAGCATTAGATTTTCTGTTTCCTTTTTTAATAATTTTTTTTCCATAGATGAATGCATGGTAAGAGTATTGACAAGCCCTGTTTTTTTTTGTTGTTCCTGCTGTTGTTTTTTTCTTCACTTCTCTGAAATCTGCTATAGAATTCCTTTCTTGCTGTAAGAAGACATGTTTTGAAACCCAGGAGGAAGACAGCATCATGATGATTTGTCCAGATGGCATGGAAAATGCTGAGAAGTCCTAAAGAAACTTAGAGAGGCTTCCTGGAGTGGATGGCTCGAAGCTCATGTCCATGAATGTGGAGAAAAAGGGAAACACAGTCAAGCCTGAAATAGGGAAAATGGTTTATTCACAATTAAGCAGAGGCAGAGACTAGCAAGAGTCTTGTGCCCTACAGGGAAATGACTCAGCATAAACACATCAATTTTTCCACAAATAACGCATTCGCTCTGAGATTTCAAAGCACATGGAAGTATATATGGTCAGAAAAGGGGACATTTGCTTCCATCAGCCTCTGCTTTTACATTTACCCCCAGTTTCTCACCTTCTTAGAGTGATCTAAGAATGGTCACATTTTGGAGATGTTCCCCCCCCCCCCACTTGGCCATCTTTCCTTGAATCTATAAACTCTGAAGTCCCAAGTGATGCACATGTTTAAATGTCTTGGTTGTTAACTGTGGAGATTTGAATTTTGAGTCCACAAAGAGGCATTTGGAAGAAAGGTCTGGGGAACTCTTTCTGAAGGGGCAGCGCCAGTGCTGCTGTGCTCCATGCTTGTCAGCACCGGCCAGGTCCATGTTACAGTGGTGCAGTGGCCTTGCTAACGTGAAATCTGCCCAAGTCCTTCGCGCCTCCTCACCCAGCCTCCTGTCAGGCATTTCGTCTATGTCCTATTACCTACAGTAAAATGTTTCCCATTTCCATTAAGTACATTCCTACTCATGACATTTCCATATTGTTGAGAGAACTGTGCTCCTTAAGGTTTTCATGACTGACAATTTTTTAAAAAGTTTAAATTTTTTATTGTACTTTAGTGAAAGTTTACAGAGCAAAACAGTGTTCCATTTGATAGATTGAACGTAAGGTGTGCCGTAATATTGGTTGCATTCTTACACTGTGTCATCTCTCCCTCTCCCCATCCGAAGTCCCTTGTTCCTTTTCTACCCCTTCCTGCCTTCTTATCTTTGCTTTTGGGAAAATGTTGTCGAATCAGAACAGCTACTGCTGTTGAGCTGAAAGGCAGTTTCCAGGAACAGCTTTGGTTCCCAATTGAGAGGGCAGTAACCCCCTTCAGTCTCTGTGTGGCTAGCTTTTCGTGAATTTTGGGTTTTGTTCTGTGTTTCTTCTGCTCTAGTGAGGCTGCTCTGTTGCAATCCTCATTGGCGTGATCGGTGATGCTAGCCGGGCACCGTCTAGTCCTTCTGGCTTTGCAGCTGGGAAGGCTGTGCTTCATGTGACCATGGAGTCTTTCTATCCAGTGCTCCATTGAGTCTTTGGTTTTCTTCACTCTCCTTTGTTCCAGGAAGGAAGTGACCAGTAGTTGCATCTTTTGGGGTAGCTCTCTCAGGCGTTGTTGTTGTTGTTTTGTACCATCGAGTCAGAACCAACCCATAGCCGACCCTCTGGTGGGTTTTAAGAGGCAGTATACATGCAGGAGGATATTGCCTACCCTTCTCCAGCATAGCAGCTGCTGGCCTTGAACTGCCTGCCTTTGGGTAGTTGCATCTTAAAGTGCCACTTATAAGTGTCTAAGACCCCAGAACTATTTGCTCATGTAGGATGAAGAATGCTGGCTTTTCAAAGGCTGTTTTATTGAATGGTATCAGTTTCCTCCGAGTCCATGCACCTCCATCTCAGGCCTAGAAACTGTGTCTCTCAAGCTGTTTGGTTATATTTAAGAAGTTTCCATGCTATGTCCCTGTGTGCCCTATCATCGGTATTAATATACACACAGCAGCTACCGTTACACATGCAGAAATTGTAATATTAAAATTCAGGCTGCAGCTGACACCCTTGTCCTTTGCTCACACTCCACTCACTCTGCTGTTGAGGAACTTCCTAGAGGTGAAATTTCTGGATCACACACAGCATTGTGTCTTCAGAGAACTGGAAAAGTACCATTAGTAACCAGATTTGAGTACTAGTTCTTTAACAGCCAGTATCTGGTTTATTTTTGGTGTCAAGATCCCAGGGGAGAAAACCTTGTCTTCCCGTATGTTCCATCGTTCCTAACCAGCAAGTGTCTGAGATCCAGGATGACCCCGTGAGTGTTCACAGGAGTCAGCACTTGCTACCTTGAGCTTGTTCCATAATCACTCAGCATTATTTTTCCTTAACTACTTGCATGTTCAAAACCCTTTTCGGGCCTTTAATCACACACTTAATTCTTCCTCCCAACAGTGCAGTAAGATCATAATAGTTGTGGTTATTATTCCAATTAAGTATGCATTGTTACGCCAATTTAGTTAAAGAAATGATAAGGCAATAGCATGCACCACGGGACTAAGTGAATGGAGTGCGCCTAGCTCACTGAGTGGAAAACAGAGTGTGTGAGGATCTTCTCGGGCCTTCATGCACTCGGCGGAGCAAGCTGCCTCCCAGAAGGCCTCCAACCTCCTGTTTAGAGAAAAAGAACTGTTGGGGAGAATTCTGTCTTAATAAGTGCCATCTCCACCTTGTCTATGTTGACCCAAAGGAGCTCTGGTGAGATAGTGCGTATGTAGAGTGTCAGGTTACTGACCTAAAGGTCGGAAGTCTGAACCCACCTGCAGCTCCACAGGAGAAAGGTGGGCACCTCTTCCTGTCCACATAGCCTCACCAGCTTGGTAGAGGGGTGCTCTGAGTCAGACACCCGTTCATGACAGCAGGCTGATGTCCAGGAGTAATACAAATGGTTGTCTTGACAACAGCCTTGGAAACCAATAGAAGATACTTATGAGTTGGTATCAACTCAGTGAAACTAACATAATGGTTGGGAGTTTGAACCAAAACAGCAAAAAGATTGTGGCCACAACACCCCTGGAGCAGGTCCACCTGGGATGACATTCACTCAGTGGCTTTGTTTTTGGTTGTTGAGTAATTATATAGTTGCTGACAGAAGAGCCCCATTAGGGTTTGTTTCTGTGTTCTTGGCCATTCCAGGGCCTCTGGGAATCAGGGCTCTTTCACTGTCTGGTGTAGCAAAGCACTGCTGTACGTACTGGAGCACGAGGCCCAGGGTAGGTCCCATCCAGGGACCTGCATTGATATGCAACACTGTTTTTAATGCAAACAATTAGAAATATCTAAATGTCCAGGAATGGAAGAGCAATTGATCTTCTTTAGATACAAGATTACATTTTAAAGTGCATTGCGGTTTATGACTTTCCAGACTAAGGGTTAAGGTGCATCTGAATTATCTAGGGGCATTTTTCAAACTAGGGTCACTCCCACCAACCCCCAAGAGCCTCACCTGCCCACATTCCTGGCTAGATTCTATCCAGTGTCTGGGGCGGGAGGGAGGGCTCTCTGCCCCTGCGGGTATAAATTACTGCTTTTA